AATAACAAGTGTAATATCCACTAAAGCAAAGCTTAAGTATATAACACCAACAACTGGTCTGTGCGCGCTAGGCTGAAAAGCTCTGCTAGCTTGGACGCGCCTAGCAGCGCTGAGGCGCTAGCGGCGCTAAGGCAACAGGGTGCTGACGTCTGGGGTCGTTAAGGGCGCGCTATGCTGGATAACGGTGCTAGCCCGGGCGCACCTACCAAAGCTAAGGCTTGGGACGTTGGGCTTTGGCAACTTTGCAGGACTTTGCTTTTCGGGCTCGTTTGAGCTCGTCCGAACTCAGAATTGAGTTTTGCTTTTTCATATATGTAGCCAACAAACCCTTCTAATTAATTATGTTTGTACGACCAGTTAATTCTTGAAATTCTATTCACCCGAAGCTCCCAACCTGCACATATAAAGACTCAAAATAAAGAAAAAAAAAACACTCAACAAAACACTAAACGAACTAAAAACCAAATAAAAGACCTAAACAGGTGAAAAAGAAAGGTAAAACAAATGCGAAAAATACAACAAAAATGGGACAAACAACTCCCTCACACTTAAACCTTTGTTCGTTCCGAACAAAAGAAAAAAAAGCAAACAAGCAAACGAGCATGGACAACAGTTTCAGATAAGAAAATTCTCAAACTAATCAACTTAGCCGAGGAGAATTCCAATGAACAATAGAGCATACCGCAATTAACCTCGAATGCTACACTTTGAAAACAAATACTCTCCAGCACAATAATATAATATATATGTCTCACTCAGTTTCTTACATGAATACGAATGAGTACACTCAATGTAACACCCCGCCTTATCGTGAAATCAGAGTGCGAAAATTTCGCAAAGTTATTTAAAATAAAATCTTTTACTTTGTGAAAACTGATTCGGGGTGCTACCGTAAAACGTGACTTATTTTGGAAAAACCGTTATCTTAATTTTTAGTAAAATCATACAGTTTACTGAAAGCATAAATTTTTCCGAAATCTGATCAAACGATAAGTTCGTCAACATCAAAGTCAGCGGAAACGTGATATCGTCAAAATATATATACAATCATAACATAAAAGTCCTGAGGCATCCGTCATCTCACGCTCCCGCCCCGACATCCTGACCTGAAAAACATGATAAAAGTGGGATGTGAGCACTATAACACTGTGCTCCGCGGAAACTCATACTAATGTAAACATTGAAAATAATAACAACATCATGATCTTGGCATATACATAACCTGAACATGAAACCGGTAATAACATAAACATGAATCTGATATCATCACGTGAACGTGTGTAACACCCCACCTTACTAGATAAATCAGAGTTGCGCATTTATTCGCAAAGTCTTTGAAAACTAAAATATTTTTACTTTGCGAAACTGATTTGGGGTGCTACCGTGAAAATCGTTACTTAACTTTAGAAAACCATTGTTTTAATTTAATAAAACATCCGGTTACTGAAAAACTGTGTTTTCTGAAAAGTTTATCAAAATATGATAAAACCGTCAAAATCATCAAAGCATCGTCAAAAGATCGTCAAAATATGAGCAGAAGCATAAGTAATAGTTATATAGTCCAAAACATATATAAGAATATCCTGAAAGTCTCGATCTGCTCCCGTCACGTCACACTCCCGGCCCGACCTGCTGACCTGAAAAAGAAGATAAAACTGGGGAGTGAGCACTAGGCACTGTGCTCCGTGGAAA